CTAAGGATGAAAAAAGTATGGAGCATGTTAGACGAAACGGTTATGCCCTAAACAGAAAGGAGAGCACCAAAGAGTCTGACAAAATACTGAAACAGGTAAATGCATGATGAGCTACAAAATATAGATATTTTGATTCTGTATTTGGTGCTTCTGTATGCATGCTTTGTTAGTCTGGTTCTATTTAAACGGTTCAAGGATGGTCTTCGAGCCCCTACCTCAGCCTGGCTGGTCATGTACAAATTTTAGGTGTTGTAGGGGATGTTATTCGCAGATATGAGAATTCGAGTTAGGTCTTTTGAGCTACTTTACCTATAACTAATTGGTTTAACACATAATGTAAGGCAATGAGTCTATTGGTTGTGTGTGTGATAGGTTCTTTTATTCAATTGCATGGATGTCAGAGATCCTCAAATACTACTCCGGCAGCTTGTCAATACTTGTGCTTCTTCAGGTATCAATGCCTTAAGTTAACAACTTAAGCCTTTATATTTTAATTTGAATAAGTTATACCTTAAATTTATGAATTGAAACTGTACCCTCAATTTATAGACATGTTAGTGAAGCCTTGTCTTGTAAAGCAAAAAACAATATGGTCTTGTGGTTAATGGGACTTAGAGCACTAATGGGTTCAAGATTTTGTCGAAATTCTTACAGGCACACATTTCTCGAAAGCTCTTTTTGCCCCAACGATGTCAACATATAACAAGGTTACTTCAGCTACAATCATTCCTTCAGATATTTATAGTAGGGATTTGACATGGCAATTTAGGCTTCAAACAATATGGGAGAGGACAATCCATGGGGCGGGTAAACCTAACTTCCCTTTTTCCCGGAATTTGAATTGATTTCTTTTAATGCTTATAAGCCCGTAAAACATAAGTGTATATCAATTCTAAAGTAATCTTGTGATAGAAAGAATACAAATTTAACAAAAAAATGCTCTGGTGTTTGGTGACAGAGAAAGAAAAACGGTAGCACCAAACAGGCCTTAAGAGCATTCTTCTGTTATAAACATATTGAACACTAATCTAACATACTGGTGTCTATTTTTGTTCCCTAAACAGATATTGCACTTGACATCAAGACTTACCAGATTGATAGTATAGAGATCTTACCACCACATGATTTTCTTTATTGGAATACTTCCAATTGCAATCCTTCAGATAAATTTTTCGCTTGCAGCACCATAATTCCTTCATTGCCACTGGCAATAAAATGGTTGAGAGATTGTGTGAGAGAAAATCCTTCTTTACAACTTCAGGTAATCGAGTAACTACTAACACTTCGAGTATCCTTTCTTTTTCCAACTTAAATAAATGCAGTTGACAATGAACATGTGGCAAGTTTGATATTTTCTGCGATTTATTTATATTTTGATATTTCTACCATTTATTTATTTATTGATTATAAAAAATACATGCATATGATTTCGGAAAACGAAACCCAAAATGCATCCCA